AGCAGTTAAGCTACCTCAACAAAGCGCACAATAGAGGATGCAAAGGAAACTTAAATCCCATTTTCCAGTAGTCCGAGTATATCTCGAACAACCCTTTGGGACAGTTCCTAATGCGACTCCGCACTGCGTACTTCCATGAGGGGTGCAATCCCAACCCGCGAATAATTTCCACCACCTCGCTTTGCCCAAGCACGGAAAGATGGTCAGGACCGCAAATCAGGCTTTCACCAGAGACGACACCTTCCTCAAACATCTCCGCCCAATCCACAATGGTGTATTGGACGCCGAGACAATGCACCCCCAACTGACTCATTGCTTCCTTCAAGCGAGTCACATTCCGAGGAGGATTGATTTCTCTATTGGAAACCTTAATGGGAGAAGCACCAGTAGCTGCTGACCTGCTGCAATCGTTTATGGCAAATTATCAAAACGCCCTACGCACCCGGATCAGAAGAGGACGCTCTACGCGCCCGGCTTAGAAGAGGACGCCCTACGCGCCCGGCTTAGAAGAGGATGCCCTCGCACCGTCAACATGTCGTTGCACATCATCATCATCATCAAAATACTCATGCATGATATCTCTACCCGCATCGACATCATACGACAACGTCGTCGGCTTACCTCCGGTTTTGACACTGTCGCTACCATTACCACAAGATTCGGCCAGATCCAAAGACGGCTCGGAAGAAATAGGAGGAAAAAAAAAGATAGGTTACCTTCTTTGTCAACGACGACCTCAAATTTTGCATGGGGACCACTGAAAGACAGTATATACTGGAAAATGACAATGACACAGAAGAAGAAAAGAGTTCACAATGGAAGGAGAAGAACCAGAGGACGAGAGGAAATGCAAGGAAGAAGAAAGCTAGACAGTTATGTGAAGACAAAACATCTCCAAAGCGGCACCCTTTTTATAAACGTCTCCAACGGGTAAAAAAGAGCATCGGTACCAACGCTCAGTCACATCACTCAATTCAAATTTCAAAATCCATCACCCAAACGAGTGAACGAGAAAGAGCCACGTCATCATAAAGTCAACGAAGACAACCCTATAGGCGGCAGCACCGACCGTGTCCGCGCACCGCCCAGGGGAAGAATGGACCCACGAAACTTAAGCATCCTAGCCTAATAAGGAGAAAATGCGAGTTGAACCATGAAAGCCAGATCTGTAGACACACACGTAAGAGGCTGAGCACTGCTTACACCTAACAAACAGGTTCACTCGCAGAATAACGAAGCCATATCCACTCGTGCAACAACAAATCCATGTGCATATGCTAACCCTACTCATGCACTCAATCCGCCATGGCGCCACCTATATCTACCAACGCCTTTTCACGAGGAGAACAGGAGATAGTCGCAGACTATCTTGTTGGGGACATGGTGTGCCGCGTGGGTAATAGCGTGTTAGGCATAACACGTCGCCAATGGCTTGAGAAAACGCACATGCGACAAAGATGTTGAAGGCATGGAGCGGCAGAACACGCCATGTGTGCACAAAGGCATATGAAGCGTCGTCGTATCACTGATAAAACCCGTACATCCCACTTGCTCAAACGAAGTTTTTAATACTCACTCACTGAAGTAAAGCCTATAAATAGAGCATTTACTTTGGTGGGCGAGGGTATCAACTTTTAATCTCTCTGCCCTAGATATAAACTTCTCTCTCTAGAAATTTTCTCCCCACTCCCCGTGTAATCTTGTTATTCATCAAAGGATAAGAGAGATTGTTCTATCACTCGCACTCTAAACATCCAGTGTCTCCCCTACTCTCCGTTAGACACAAACAATAATCATCCTTTCACTTTTTATAAATACCACCATTCTTCTCTGTTTTGCATAAACCTTTTCAGAACAAGTTCTGGATTTCTGCATCCTTTCTCCTATCTTCCAAAAGAGGAAAACACATTCATGATGTGATTTCTCTCTAGAATTTCAAGCACTAGTACTTCGGAAAGAGGTGTTAGAATTAGTCAATAGAATTGTAATACCACATTGGTGCGAGAAGGAAAGTGCAAGGGGTTATTTGGACGTGGCAATCGGAATTGCATTTTTGGCAGATTAATTAATTAATATTGAATATTGTGAAAAGAAGTCATTACATATAGGTAAAAAAAATTTATCCAAGATAAGCCCCCAAGGCATGGTCGGACAACAACAATATAGCAGAAAATAATGAAGAACGGTAGTCCGTATGCAACCAGACTCCTGATGAAAGAGCCTGTTATGCCACGAGGTGGGTAGCTCTATGAAAACTTCGAGGAGCAAAAAGGCACGAAATTGACACATGGGGTGAGAAGAGAGAAAGAAGAACTTCCCTCATGGAGTCAGCTCTCGAATGGGAAGACTTCCTCTCTGAAATGTCTCTGATGGCCAATTGAGAATTTCCTCAAAAGAAAAGGTCAAGGCATTGCGAGTAAGTCACCGTCTAATAGACATCATTAATTCCATGAATAATGTACCAAGAGCAAATGGGCTTAATTGAGAGACTGATAAGGTCGGCTACAATTCCATCATGTATCTTATTTACATCAAGATGCCCCTGCAATGCGGACAACCCAAAAGGGATCCACTATAGTGCTAGAAATCTATATCCAAAGAAATTAAAGTCTATCAATGAGAATTAATCTGAATGACCGAAATACCACTCCAATGATGAGAGCCGAGCTTAAAGTAAAAACAATAACAACAAAAAAAACTCGTAGTAGGTAACTTTTTCTCTCTAGAAGGATGTGTTTTTTCAGAAAAGGTAACTCCATTTCTTCTGTGAAAGGATGTGTCTTTTCGGGAAAGGTAAGTCCCTTTCTTCTGTGAAAGGATGTGTCCTTTCGGGAAAGGTAACTACCTTTTCTGTGTAAGGATGTGGGCAGTGGTATTCCTCCTTGGAAATTCAGGTTTGTTCCGGGCACCGCGATGTGGGCGGTGGCACCAGGCCCCAATGTCGGAGCCGGGAACATCTTCTGGATGCTAACGGTCAAAGCTGGCGGCGGCGGAGGAGGTACTAACGACTACTCAATGGTCCAGCGGACGTCAACCAAAGTCCAGATGTGGTCCTTCTCATAAGCAGCACCGAGTGCTGGAGGGAACCCATCAATTCAAGCCCTGTTGCATTTCATGTCAAGATTCAACCTTTCCTCCCAGAAGCTGAATTTCCTAGGGGGAAGACCAAGTAATTTACAGTTGGGATCAATGGTGATGTCGTCCCCACCACCGATTACAACATCGAATCAATAGCAGCATCTCAATCTCGTTCTTCTTAATGTATTTTTTTCAAATAATTGGAAATGAGGTGGAAATTTTAAAATAATAATAATTTATTTTATTATTTTAATCACTATGTCACACATTTAACGGTCAACTGTAAGAGTTGACTGCCACATAAGTAAAAGTTAACAGAGTTGGACGGAGAGGGACCAAAATTGAATTATTTAACTAATTTTAGTATTTTTTTTGGTAATTGTTATTACTTTTTATTCTATATATTTTATCCATTATATAAATTTTGGATTTAAGTATTAAGATGAGATTTTTTTCTCACATAATGATAATATTATGCTATATTGGTTAACCCGGTTTAACCATATTGATTAAAATTTAGTTTGGTTAATTTGGTTGTTGTATTAGTTTGGTTGATTTGGTTATGATATTATATTTCATGATTAATAGAATTTAGATTTAATTTGTTTGGTAATTTTCATGGTAACCATTTGAAAACCTCTAATCTAAATAATATTTTTCTTACTAAATGTATGAGATACCCTAAGATTTACCAAAAGTAGCATAGAACTCATACACACGTATGTATACTCCTGAGGTTTATCCATTAAAGGTTAGAGTATAGTGTCATATCCCAAATTTGGTTTAATTTATGGTATTGATAAATATATCTCATTAGGAATACTTGCAGTATACTATACCTCATGAGTACACCAGTCTGACCCATATACAATGTGATTAAGCTTGTGAACCATACATATGGTTTTGTCTTTGGTGCACACATTTTTTTTGGATCCATGCTATGCACCCACATCATAATTGTCATTGTGAGCAGGTGATTCATGTCAAAACGATGACAATCGTCATCTGCTATATAACGGACAAGAAAAACACATAAATTTTAACAAAAATCATCAAGCTTAACTTTGATTTGAATTATTTAAGATCAAAATTTTGGATTTACAATTTGAGATTTAGGGTTAGTGTTGAGATTTGGAGGTGTAGAGCTAAGAGTAATCCATTAATTAATTGCTTTCATATGGTATATCATCCTAGTATAATTAAATTTTAAAATTTCATGTCTTAAAACAAGCTAAGGTTGGATACTTGGCGAGCTTCAACTAAAGTAAAGGGCTCTTATGGTCATCGTCGTGGGTGCTGGATCGTCTAGGAGGTCAAACCCCAAGAATCAACCCTTATTAAACATGGATTTCTGGTTGGTTTCCAGCAGTGAGTAATCCATTGCGCAAATTGAAGGAAAAAGAAATCATTTGAAAAGGGGGACGTGCAGTTGAAAAGGAACGAGAATTAGACATGTCCATACAACTGCACTACACAAAGCATGAATCGCTCCTGAAATTAAGAATCTTCATAAATTACAACTGTCAGTCACACCCCAAAATAGAAAAGGAAACAAAAAAAACATTTTCATTTCCAAGCCCTTATTCTTATATCAATTTCACGATAAATAGTACTGTAGCTCTTATCTCTAGTGCTGATGTGCCCTATAGTCCTTAAGAAAATATCGAGCTCGCAGTACAATCTCCTCCTATTTGAGTTTTGTACCATTAAACAAATGAGCATTCCGTTCTTTCCAGAAAAACCACAATAAAACACACCAACCTTCCAACACTATGTTATCCCAGCTGCCCATGACTGTTTTTAGCCATCTATAACAGTCTTGATTGGCCCGGAACTTAAAGCAATCGCTAAATTCAGTGGACCTCCACAATCTCGTTACCCACTCACACTCCCCAAACAAGTGACATTGCATTTCTCTAGAGTCACGGAACATACACTTATTGCTCCACTTCTCACTCTGGGTACTGATATAATCTCCTGTTGGCAACGCATTCCTCGCAAACCGCCAGACAAAGTGTTTAACCTTTGGTGGAATACTCATTTTCCACAACTTTTTCCAAACCTCCACTTCACCTTGCATGACTACGTCATTCTTTGTTTTGAAATCCCTTAGTAACCAATTATACCCATCACAGACAGTGTACAAACCTTTCTCATTTTCAGCCCAAATCAGCGTATCCTTCTCCTCTAGCCCCCGCCGCGGAATCTGAAGTATCTCTTGGACAGTGACAGAGTCTAAGCATGCCTCAAGTAGAGTAGTGTCCCACATCTCAGTCTCCGGGTCAATCAGCTTCCTTCCCCGAGTGTCTACTTCCAACCCTCTAGGCACATCATTTTATGAAATATGGTTCTGCTACCAGCCACCTATCTCCCCAAATACGGGCCTCCGTTCCATCCCCGATGCGCCATCGAAGACCCTCCACTAGTAAACTTTGAGCGCTCATCAGACTCCGCCATACAAAGCTAGGTTGATATCCCACCTTGGCCTCGAGGACTGTAGTATTTTTGTGATACTTAGCTTGGATGATGTGCGCCGCAAGTGAAGGTGGTCGCTAGTAGAGACGTCATAGCTGCTTGGCAAGTAGAGCAGCGTTAAAGCCTTTCAAATCTCAGAAACCCATCCCCCCTTATGCTTTTGCACATACCAATTCTTCACTTTTAATCCAATGAATATGTATTTCATCCAGCATGCTCTCGAGGACATTGAATAGTCACATTGCGTACGTGAGTTGATCCTGCGCCACTGACTTAATTAGTGTCTCTCTTCCTGCTATTGACATGGTCCTCTTCTTCCAACCTTTCACTTTTGACCAAACCCTTTCATTAATACCACTAAATACTTCTTTCTTTGAGCAACCCACTACAATTGGAAGCCCAATATATTTTTCATGTTTATCCACAGTCTGCATGTCGAGGATCCCCGCGATTGTGAGTCATTGATGGGGCTTGACATTATCACTGAACGATAGCTCCGACTTCTGAAAATTCACCATATGTCCCGATTCTTTCTCATAAGATATAAGAATACTCTTCAGGGTAATAATTTCCTGCTCGGTTTCCCTGCAAAATAATACACTATCATCGACGAAAAACAAATGTGTGACTACTAGGCTCTCCTCACAGGCTCCAATCCTCGTAGTTTCTTTTTTTGAACTGCCTTCTTTGTGGCCACAGATAGTCCCTAGGCACGCAGCAAAAACAGATAGGGTGAGAGCGGATCACCCTGCCTGATCCCACGGCTGGGTGTAAATACCTCGGATCTATGCTCGTTGATCAAAATTGAGTACGTTACAGAGCTCACACACATAAATATCAACTTAACCCATTCAGCAGCAAAACCCAACCGGAGCATCATCCCTTCTAAAATTTGCCACTCCACACGATCTTAGGCCTTGGCCATATCGATTTTAGCTGCAAAAATAGGTCACTCCACCTTTCTTCTTCTTCATCATCGTGTGGAAACATTCAAAAGCTTCCATGATGTTGTCAGTAATAACTTTGCCCGGAACAAAGGAACTTTGCTCCTTATAAATAACTTGATTCAGTAGCTCCTTCAATCTATTTGCCAATACTTTTGCCACAATCTTGTAGACGATGTTGCAGAGGTTGATAGGCCTGTAATCTTTTGGTGCTAAGGGTGACTTCAACTTTGGGATTAGCGTGATCAAAGTGTGGTGACTCATCCCGAATACCACAATAAAAATCTCAATCAAGGCCCAAGTATAAACCTTAATTGGGTGCAATATAGGGCAAGTATGTTTTAAAAGTCAAACCTGGGCCGACCATGTATACCCCTACTTCGATTGTTTGAAACATTATCTAGCAATTGGTTTTTGGTTGGAACTGCGATTCAAAACTAAAGCGATTGGAAAAGTAAATGGTGTGAATACTAGTTGAGAAGGATTCACCTGGGTGTTGATCCCCCTAGAGAGATATAAAGGTGAGTTAAACCTTTTGAAAGTGCATGGTAAAGGTGGTTGCTAATCTTAGGGAAGCGCAACAAGTGAATTGGATTCACTCTCTTGATCAATTGGCTAAGGGGATACAAGCCAAGCTACCTAGGTGACTCTCTTAGATAATCATCCAAGGGACACAATTCAAGCTACCTAGGTAACTCTCTTAGCCAATCGTCTAAGGTTTGCCAAGCTTCACCCTCGAACCAAAGTATGGACGGCTAAATCACAACCAACAGAAGGTGCTTAAACGTAGTAAGAGGTGTGCCCTAATTTACCGTAGGTAGGTGACTCAATTAGACCAAGGAAACCCAGCTTTTGAAAGCCTCTTAACAAGAAGAGAGTTTCCCTCTGCCTAGGTCGAATTGGCAAAATAGTTGGAAATGGAAAACACAACACAACATCCATGAAAATACCTCAATACTTGCATTCAAACACAACCATACACAATCATTCAATACATACAAACTTTCATATGTTTCTAGCTAGGGTTCACAAACACCCAAGTGAAATAAAGGACTACTCCATGCTAGGTAGAAGGAATACAAAAAGGAGAGAAGAGAAAACCATCTTGGAGATGAATGCTTTCTTCCTTTTGTGTGGAAATCAACATTGAAGGTGAAAATTCCCAAAAGCTTGAGCTTGGATGAAACCCCAGACTCCTTCCTCTTCCTTGCTCGTCACTTTCTCTCTCTAGAAGTCTTGAAAGATAAGAAGTTATCTCACTAGCCCCCCCTCTTCCTCCTTCAGCTCAACTCTCTTTATATACCCAGATCGAAGGCATTTCACAGTCTTAGTTCACAGTCGTGAACATTGGCTGGGGATCGTGATTTTCATCAAAAGTGCACCGTGTTACTTATGCACTTCATGGTCCAAGGTGAGTGTTCACGGTCCAACAACCGTGAACCAGTCGAGGTCTAGTGAGGTGCGCAAAATCCTTCTGGAACCATGGTGCTTCACGGTCGGGGCGCGATCTTCACAGTCTTGCCGGCCGTGAAATCATGGTTTCCACAGTGATCTGCAGTTGTCCTCTCCTTTTGGCCCATTTTTGCTCCTTTTCATCCAACTTTTGTTCCCGGGGTTGATTTACCTGCTAGGATCGGAAACGTAGCAAAAAAAGCACAACCTAGAGTAAAACCAAACCCCATTGGGTGAAATCGCCTAAAAAAATCTAAGGAAATAGGGGATAAATGTGTGCATTTTGACCCAAATCATATGGTTTAAGTCTGGCGGCATTTCTCCTTTCTCCATTATGCTGGTAACCAAATTCACGATATCACCCCCAACACTTTCCAGTTCCTGCGTAAAAAAAAGACTGAGAATCCATCCTCACCCGAGGCCTTTCGTTGCCCAATCTGCTTTATAGAATTGGCTATCTCTTTCCTCTCAACAGGACAGATCGGGTTGGCACTTTCCTATGCAGTCACCAACACCTCCACTGCGTTCAGAATGAGAGTCTCCTCGGGGCGGGGACCAGCCTCAAAGAGCTTGGAGTAATAACCCACCATACATTCTGATATATCATTTTGAGTCGTGACCACCCTCCCGCTCTCTGCTTGCACCCTCCGAATCATGTTTCTTTTCCTTTTTTATGTAGCCTGCTTGTGAAAAAATGTTGTATTTTTGTCCCCACCTGTCAGTCAATCAGATCGTGATCGTTGTTTCCAGTAGTCCTCTTCTGGTTCTTCCAAGTCTTCCAGCTCCTGCTCAAGTTGCTTACTTTGCTAGATATTAACATCTATTTTTGGGGCCCTCTCCAATGCTCCCATGGCCCTTTTAATACGTTCTTTTTGCTTTGGGAATTTGGGAAAGGTGTTACTGCTCCAATTAATAAGCTGGTCATGGCATAAAGCAAGCTTCATCGGCACCTCAAGAGCTCATGCTGCCCTCCAAGCTTCAGCTATTACTTTCTCACAATTTTCATGCTTTGTCCATAGAGGCTCGAATTGAAAGCTCCAACCCCATCTTGATACTACATCATCATCCCCCCAAGTATCGCATACTATTGGCCTGTGGTCTGAATTTGTCTTGTCCAAGTGTAGCACTCGACTTTTGGTAAATCTTTCGTACCATTCAACTGTGGCGACGAAACGATCAAGCCTCTCCTCTATATAGCCCTCAGCCGCCCTCTTGTTTTCCCAAGTGAAATCATAACCCGAATATCCCAGATCAACGAGCAGGGTATCAGTTAGGCAGTCACCAAAATCTCTCATATCAATTTCCACTGGCGATCGCCCTCCTCTTTTCTCTTCTCCCATGATGACTTGATTGAAGTCACCGCCACACAGCTTCCCATTGTTCTGATAGTCACCATGAAAGGTCCCACGTGTACCTCTTCTCACTACTCTCCCACCATCCATAAACTCCCGTGAACCTCCATATCTCCCCATTTTCCTCGATAATTTTCATGTCCATATAGTGAAGGGATGCAGACATCAAAGTAGCATTGACCTTCGTTCTCCCCCACACACTTAACCCACCTGCACGGCCACCGCCACTACTATCCATCGGCCAACTCTTGCCATTATCAAATCCAATTTCAGTACGCAACTTTTCATTCTCTACTGATGTTTGTTTGGTCTCCATAAGAAAGACCATGTGCGGGGAAACCTATCGCAAAAGCGACTTCAGAGCTCTAACTACATGCTTGTTTCCCAATCTACAACAGTTATAGCTTAGAAGCCTCATTTATGACCTGGAGGGGATAGGTTCCCTGCACCATTAGTCACACTCTTGTTTGTATGGACCCCTATAGGCTCCTGTATATTCATATCTTTCATTGAGTTGTCTTTTTCTAGCATATCATCTATTGCTTTGTCCTTTCCTTCATTTTTATATCGTGATCCATTGTCATGAAGCTTTATTCCCTCTGCCTCCTTTTTTTGGGGTTGTTGGGTTCCCTGATTCTTCTTTATTGTATTCTTCTCCCCACCAACTGGCCTCTTATTCCATGTTTTATTCCCATTGCCTTTCTTCTTCGCATCCTCACTCCACCTGATGGTAACATGTTATACTACCTCATGCTCCCTCTCACCTTCTTTTTGGATCAACTATTCATATACTTAATTCTGTGAGACCCCTTCCTCTGCCACGTTCTTTGCATGGTTCACCGCTTCTTCTTCATTTAGCACGTCGTACATGTTATGAACCTTTCCCTTCCTTGTTTATCACTCCTGCCATATCTCTGTGGTTGTTTTCTCTCCTTTCTTTTGACAGTCTTCCATTCTCCATACACTTTGCCTTGCGTAGGGTCCACCTCCTATGTCTGAGGGACCATTGAAATATCCTCCACTCTCATTTCATTGACCAATTTCTTACACTCACATCCTTCCCCCAGCATGCTATATTTTCCACATTCGCCACATATATTATCTAGTCCTTCGAACTAGATTAGGTATGTTACTCCTCCCACTATATATTGAGATAGTAGAGGCATTGTCAGATCAACTTCAACACAAACTCTTGCAAACTTAGCTTGGACTCCCTCTGCTGTCGCACGGTCTACACGAACTGGTTGGCCAATCATCTCCCCTATCTGCATGACAGCTTCCAAGTTTATAAATTCAATGGGGAGATCCGAGATCTGGACCCAAACTTAAGTCGATTTTACTTCTGATGTCCACTGGTTGAAACCTTTGAACCAACAATGAACTGCCATGTATGTGTCCCCCAACAGCCAAGGACCACCATACGTTGCCAGCTCGTAGTCTACCTTACTTTCGAACCTCACCAAGAAACATCCATTCTTCATGTCTGTGATCTGGATATTGCCATGTCTTGCCCACAGATAATTAAGCTTGCGCGCTAGTGGCACATACGACACCTTATTTCCCAGTCCTCTGACTACTAGGACCGATCTCCATTTCCGTCTCCAGCGAATCTTCTGCGCTGCCGTAAACAAAACAGTTGGGCATGCAGGGTTTTGCTTCTCTTTAGGTATATAGTCATCATTCTCTTGTTCCCGAACCATCACATCTTTAGAGTCGGAGTCAGCCACATACCAGCCCTCCTCTCCTAAATCTTGCTTGAAAAGTCGGGATGTTGCTCCTTGCCAGAATGACAGTTTCGGATCATTTGTTTGTGGTGCCCCAGCATTCTCCTTTCCGCTCTCTGAATCCATCTGCGATGAAACATCATCGAGATCGACGCCTTCTTGGTCAAGATTTAATCACCGGACATGTTTCTTGGGTTGTATGGTTTACTTCTCACTCTTTCCTTCAGGAGAGGAGGACACTGCAACCGCTCTCCGGTTACCACTTAACCCTGGGGGCTTCCCTGTTGGAGTCGGCTCGCTTGCGAACGGCGGAGCCGCCATCACGAACAACCCTAGCGCGCCCAAGATTCTTTGTCAACGTATCGTTGATCATAGGTCAATAAGGCCCCACGCATATAACACGCGTATGCAAGTTATATTGCTACCAATCCAAAAATAATTAATCCCAATGACGAGCCCAAGATTTTTGGAGAGATGTTTCAGTCAATAAATTAAAGTAAGATTTAATTCTTTACATAAACGATCCAACGAATTTATGTATTTTTTTCATCCAAAATATTTCTACGATTTTGTTTAACGGGAGTGGGGTTTTCTTTTACACAAAACTGATAAAGATTAATTGGTTCAGTTATTTCATAATTAAAACAATGGTATATATTGACATGTTTTAGTAACATTATAGCAATAATGTTCTTGTAGTATATAATATATAACTCTAGTTTCATTGGATAACATTACTTAACCTAGCTTGTGTTTCTATTTTAGTTCCACTATCAAGTTGTAGACCTATGATTTTGGTTCTACTGCTTTCATTTTGGTATCATCTTCTTTGAACAAATACCTTAAAATTGGCAGATAGAGTTCCAATTGGCAGATAATTCGAAAACTAAATAATTCACGTGGGCACTGATTTGCCTAAACATTTTGAATATGGTAATTTCACTAATTTGCTTACTGAAATTGCAGCCTTTCCAGTCCCCCCCATGATTTCAATAGATTACATCCCCCAATAAATGGGAACACTTTTGTCAAGCTTAGCTGTAAAACGCAAAGAAATATTTCAACCTATCTTTCCTTTAACCAAAGTTATTCAATCTATCTAACCAAGAAAAAGAAAAAAAAAAAACAAACGAAAGGGTGGGGAATAATTGTCTTCATATCCAAATTCTAACCCCTAACTGATGCGCCTAGTGGGACTTTGCATGGGATCCACAAATCTTCAAAATTTGAAATCACAATCTAATTCCACATGAAAACATCTTCATCACCACCAAAATAACACCCACATCCACATCAAACTCCCACTTTAAATAAAATACTGAAGAAAAAGAAAAGCCAGAATCCTCATCAAAATAATTTTACAAGCATAATGATGATTCATTCTTCATGATTGAAACGAAACTTTAAACACAATGATTCAGCCCACCAAATATTTCACAACCACTATGGGAGCCATGATTGAGCCTGTTATAATTTCTAATTTGTGGGTCTTGTACAATGAAAGTAAGTATATCTTGCGAGTTACTAGGACTCCGGTTATGTACAATAATTCAATCAATGATAGAATGAATAAAGAAAAATCAAATGACAACATGTCAATTCATACTAGAATGAGTTTAGATAGATGAAATAACATTTTTGTTTGAATTGTTCTTTAATACAATTGAGTTTTATGAATTTGTACTTCACATGTAATCATGACTCCTTAATTCTTATATTAATTGAATTATCTTCCCTTTCAATTCCCTTTCATTCTTTAAAACTAAAAGAACTTAAAACTAAAATATGCCTAAAATATTTTGATTTTTGGTCGCGATTCGATCCTACACGATTTCTGTCAAACTCGCAACTGGAGCAAACAATGTACATATATACTAAATAAAAGAAGAGAAAGGAATAAAATAATGAGACACTAAGCATTAAACAAGAAACAGAAAGATGTTTATTTTCTGTATAATTATTATTATCAGTAGCATTTTGGTCATTCATCTGAAGAGTTCCTCACACCATTATCTTTTTTCCCTTTTCTAAAAAAAAAGGGAGTAATTACATCCTTGTGCTAGAGACAGAGAGAGCTCCTAAGGCTCTTCCCCCTAATTAATTCACTTCTTCCTGTGATTACATTGACTAATGAGAAAACAAAAAGGTTTTGCTTCCTTAAGGATTAATAATTAACCAGTAAAATCATATTCGCTAGCTTTCTAGCCTTCTTATGCATCTCTCTCCTCTGCAAATCTCCTCCTTCCCCACCACAAGAAATGGTGGTAAAAAGGTAAACAAAATCCTCTAACTGTCTTCTTCTTCTTCCTCTTCTTCTTCTGTTGCTATGAGTGAGTAGACTATCAAGCTAATCCGCAGGCATCCCAGAATCAACTTCATGCAATGTTCTCAGATGAACACAAAATCAAAAGGGGATGGATTTGCTATTAATGGTCCTGTTGTAGTATCAATATTGTCCCGACAACCTTCAGTCCTCTTCTATCTTCTATAATAAGTAGGTAGGCCACTAGCTTTTTACCTTGTTTTCTCTACATTACTGTGGAAATCCCACTCCCTATTGGAGCTGCAAAGGGGCTCTCTGGCAGATTAAGTCCATGGCCTCCCCCACCACCATTACCATTGACATTGTTGCTGCAATTGCGCATTCCAAAATGTTAAAGCCATATCCCTAAAAGGGTTTACTCATCATAACGCCATGTGCAAAGTTAAAGCTTTCCAACAATCAATACTGTCTGATTGTCAAATTCGATCAGAGTGGGAAAGGGGAGCTCATTTTGTATTACCTATCTTGTTCGTGGTAATTCCCACTAGCATTCCTAACCTTGTCTTCGCTCAGGACATCTAGCAAGTAGTTCAGCCGCTCTGCAGAAGGGAAATCACCCGCTTCTGAAGTGCCTGCAGAAAAGGAAAATGGTTTTGGAATGATAACTTGGGAAGGAAGGAAGGAAGTGCAGAGAAAGATTAGTATTTGCAAAGACCTTCTGGGAGCTTCAACGCGTCGACCATCGAGTATCCAAAGAAGGAGCGGTGGTTCAGAGCCGTCTTCGTGCTGGTCAATTGCATCTCCGATAAACGCCTTCTCTCAAACTCAAGAGCTTGCTCTTGTTCCTCAATGAGTTGCCTCCTCATTAGCCTCGAGCTAAAACTTGGGTAACCAAGCTCAGAATCTCCATCGATATAGTGCGAGTTGTGGTAACACATGGACTGATGCATCTTCTCAGAGTAGTACTTCCTGTCCAGATTGATTTGAATACATTCAAAAACATCCACAAAAAAGATGGAATCTAGGGAGTGCAATAAGCTCCAAGATCCTTCAATAATAATGTGAGTAAAAGGAAGAGGGTAAAGGCATAAAAGGAAGAAAGGGGGAAAAAGCACAAAAGAATCCAACTTTTTTTTTCCCCCTTCCACCTATCTAGTCTAAATTGTCAATGATTGCAACAGAAGGTAAAGGAGAGAAGAAGAGAATCATATGCTCAAATTGTCAACCCTATCAATCATTTGGTAACAGGGAATCTCTTGTACAAAAGCAAATATGATTTGTTGTTTTTCTTTACCTATCGAACAGCCTCGACTTCTCCCGGTAAGGCTTGACGAGCACGCGAGCACCACACACAAAATGTGGGTTCCCTTTGGCCAGTATCTGCTTCACCGTCTGCTCGAATACGAAAGTAACGAATCCAAACATTCTCTTCTGCTGGGATGGAATCCTGACATCCTGAACTGCGCCGAATTTGCTGAGGAAAAAAGGAAGGAAACCCATGGATGAATGAATCAAAATTACGGGTTTCATTTTGTTTCAAGCAATCGTCAAAATGGTCCTCAACCTGAAGTAGTTGGAAACATCATGCTCAGTGAAAGTACTCTCAGCAGGAAATGTGAGATATATCTGCTTAGAACCAGCCACGATCCCACCAGGATCATTCCTTTCGCCCGCCGCGCATTCCAAGTATTTCGGCACATCTTCTGCGAGCATCACTGAGTGCTGCCCGTGAGGCCTAACAACAATGGTCAATAGTAGAATAGAAAATGGCTGAGAACACAATCAATGTTGGTATAAAATGGCATCTATAAAGCAATCGAAATTTGCCCACCTGTCGATGAGGCGAATACTGTGCCTCAGCCGAGCCAGGAGCTTCGTCAAGCTAAACCCAGCCTTTCCATGCCTTTGGCTCTCGGTGAGATACCCTTCGGCCTGAAGGGTCCTACCGTACTTATCATAGTACATCATGGGTAGCGAGGCTATGGAAACCGGCACCCCTCTTCTTGATTTCAGCAGCTCGGTCAGCTCCAATTCCAGCCTCTCCAGCGAACCAGGGGAGACCACATGATTGCTATGCTCCTCCATGATGTCAGCAGAGGACGACTGTTTGAAAATGTCCGACGTGGAAACTCCGTTATGGAAGTACCTACAGCTGCTGCCGTGCTTGCAGAACCCTTTGCTGTAGTAATGACACATCTTGACCGGAAACTCAGGCAGGCTGGGCGACCTTCTGCTCGTTCTTCTACCCGACTCGGGGTAGAAGAAATTGACCGGATTAGGGTCATCCATGGTAAAAAACTGTTGCATTTGATCGGAGTAGTTAGGGACGAATTCCGAGTAATTAGGAGCATAGTGATGATGAAGAGGGACTACTGCTACTTCTGCAGGCTGCTGCTGCTGCTGCTGCTTGTTGTTGTTCATCATCAAGCCGAGGTCTGATTTGGCCCTGTGAACCAATGAGTAGATCGAATTATCCGGTCCAAAGGCTAACCGAACCATCTCTCGCTCCCCCTGGTCTTGTAAGAGGAGGTAGCCTATGATCTTGGAGACGTTTTCTGGGTCTATTTGTTGTATCCTGCTGTACACAGCCTTTGTGGACTCTGTGAAATCCATTTTTTTTTTCCTGCAAAATCCTTGCAATGGGAATGAAAAGGAAATTTAAACCATGTTTCAACTAAAATATGGGGATGTGTCCCACCCAACTCTTGAGCTGAAATGGAAGTGAGAAGAGCTAAGCAAAATTCTGGCCAAGAATGGCTAGATCAGAAGGCAAACTTGTGACATAGCGAATTTAGCATTCCCGCCAAACTGAAACATAGGTTGCTATTTATGAACAATTTGGAATTGATGAGAGTTACTATAAGAAACAAAGCATACCAATATTAGTGAGAGGAAATGGAGAGAAGTTGAAATTTGACAGCAAGCTACCAAGAAACTTGGCCAAAAGAAAAAGAAAAGATAAAAATAAAGGATCTTCCTTTTTGGTTTTGACTTGAAACCCCAAATAAAAACTATTGCTCCTGACTAGCAATCTAGCCTAGAAAATGAATGTGCATGTGTTAAATATAATTATTAAGATGAAACAAAATTCTCCTTCAAGGTAAGAATGAAGTGGAAACCAGTAGAGAAGAACCAAATGGATATGCCATCTTTCTTTCCAGGGCATAAACTCATGGGTTTCATTTGAAACTGGAAGCAGTCACATGGAAGCAAGTAAAGAAGAGGAGCGAACCCTTTTTCTGTCCACACAATGGGAAAACTTTGATTGTGGGAATTAAAGTCGAGGTTTCTGCAAGGGGAAAACCAAATGAACCAACAGAGAAAGAAAACATAGACACAGAGAACTTCAGAATTTTGGTTTTCCTCGGAGTCTCAACTGTTCCATGACAGCTCTACAAAGAAGAAAGCCAAAACAGGGCATTGAAAAACCAACTTGAAGAAGAAGAAAGAAAAAAATAAATAGAATTCGCCATTGAAAAACAAAAACAAGCTTTACCCACCAGAGCTTGAAATCACCTGGCTTCTTCTTCTTCTCAATTGAAAAGCATGGGTCCTTCTTTTCTCCTGAAATTGATGATTCCCAACACACTCTGCTCTCCTGTCAGGACTCTGTTTCTTCTCCTTCCGCTGCTGCTGCTGCTGCCGCTGCCGCTTCTATTCTCTCAAAGCTCTCCATTCATCACCGAAAGAAAGACAGCGACTCCCCTCCTATTATACGCCAAAAATTGATAGTAACCAGCATCTCCTTGTCTTTACTAGCATCCTTCGTCCTCTACCTTTCTCTTTTCTCTCTCTAAAAAAAAACAAAGCCCACTTGCCCAAACTCCCTTCCAAAGTCAGCAAAAAAAAAAAAATTTTCAAAACCAAACCCTGGAAGCTATTTCTTCTGCTGCTACTACTACCTATGAATTGTACTCAATCTCGCGAGTTTTTTTTTTTTTTTAAACTCTCTTCCCCTTTTGCTATAGAGGGTTTAGCAAGCAACTGCTGTTCGTCTCTACCCTTCCTCCCCCTCCTTCTCAGTCTAACTAAATCTCAAAGGAAAAAAGAAACGAAATTTAAAAAGGGAGAAAATATTTTGTTAGAGAAAATTGCGCGAGATTTTTGCTTTAGAGTCTGGAGTTTCGGGAAACCGTAAACCTATTTTTGAATGTTGAAATATCCAGTTTGCCCTTTTTCCTCCTCTTCAATCGCTGAGCCGCAATTACCGGGATTGAATTTGGACGCTTGGATGGAAATCCTTCCTTCTTCGTTCCCCTACATGCTCGCCACGTTCTTCGATAACCGCCCGCCTGAGATTAAAACTAAACCCCGTGAATATAGAAAGCTTCTCTCTAGTGTTCTTTTACTACTATGGTCCTTCAACTTTTGAGCCAGTGCTAATTAGATCCTATTTGTTTTACGTGTTCTTTCAAGTTGTCTATATCACCCTTTCGTCTAACTAATCTGCACATTCATTCTTACACTTTAACCTTAAGAATGAAATCAAAATTTTCTCTGTGTTTCTCTTACGTGAAGTATGAAACCATTCGAAGATGAAAGGTAAGGTTGGCAGTTCCATGTCCGGTAGTTCTACGTTTAGATTTGACCTTAAAAGTGCTTGTAGGATTAGAATATAGACGTGATAAAGTCCTACTTGTTTGATTATTGTTCATGTTCTTTTGAGTGATTCCCTTAATTTGTTGATAGTTGTTTTTTCTGTCTTGGTCAGAATTGTAATTTCCAAGAGCGAAATGGGTAATACAGTAAAGTTAAGAGTGTATGATACTATGATGAAATGAATGTTGAGTTTCTTAATCCTACCTGTCAATTGATTGGGTCCCACTTAGGAGATGCCAACTCAGTTCACCGTGATTTGTGCTAAACGGCTAAAGCTATTCCCGCGTCCAGCCAGGCCCAACCACCGGAATATTTAGGCGGAGGGAGGGTAACAAATCAATACGAAACAAAATATTGGAATTTGCCCAAACCCAAAACAAAGGAAGTGCCACAAGAATAGGGATAACAACGAACGAGTCATATGGATTATGGTTTAATTGTATGGTTGGTGATTGACATTTAAAAAAAATATATATATTTGGTCACTCGAAATATTTAAATTCATTCGTGGTCACTAAAATTAGTAAATTAGTTCAAGTTTGGTCACTCTCTGTCCGTCTCCGTTAACGACATCAGTTTTCTACTGACGTGGCTGACCGACATGTCTGGTCACCCAATTTAATCTACCACATCATATGACCGGACGCGCCACGACAGACTACTATATAACCTAACCTAACCAACCCAGTTCAACAACCAAATCGACCCTCTCTTCTTGACGTTTCAGACAAATTAATCTAAATATTTTTTATTATCCAAGAAATTATCCTAAATCTTGCCTTCACTTTGCCATTACCAATCATCCCTCCAATCTCTAAACTAACCGCCATTGTTCTCCCGACACCAAAACAAAATCTAGCAAGAGTGTCGCTATTCATGGAGTAGCTGCTTGATTAATTCAAAGGTCGAGCTCCATAATTATGCGGCAGATATCGCATACGAGATCCGACTTGTCGGGACAGTTGACGATGACGACGGTGGGTTGTTGGGCTTCTTCTCGTAATGCCCCTGCAGTTGACAAAATTAAAGACAAATCTATCGTTGAACCCTCTCTTTTGGATTGTCGACTTGACCGGGAGAAGAGAATGTCGGATTCCGAATCGGCCTGACGGAGAGGGATGGCGGCAGTGGCGATATGAGGCTGAGTTCAGGAGAAGATTCACCGTTCACGTCATGGAATTGTTCCACCACCCATAACAAAATCGAGCTCGACCTCTGAATTAATCGGGTAGGTAATCTCTTCTCTAGTAGAACAGTCGATAGAGAGGGATTTAGAGGCAGGGGAAGATGCCCAAGAACAAGAACAAGCCATTAATGAATGTTATGTTTTCCCCTACGCTGCTCAACTACTTTTTCTTGTAGTTTCTCCAAATTTGTTTACTGGATATGATTAATGGGTTTAACACTCTCTCTAATCTTGTCTCTTATTCTTCTTTGTGGCAACTATACTTGCTTCAACAAGATCATTGAAGGCTCCTGGACTTCCTGCCGCCGCCAAAAAGAAGAGGAAGAAGATGAAGGGTTGGGTCGGGTCAGGTTGGGTCACCGGTTAGGTTAAGTTGGGTTGGGTTTAATGACGTGGTGGATCGAGTGTCAAACTTTTTGGTTTAAAATTGGTTGATTAGACACTTTCGTTAGCCACATCAGCATAAAATTGACGGTGCTAACGGGGGTTAACGAAGACTAACTTATAGTGACAAAACTTGGACGGTTTTACTAATTTTAGTGACCATGAATAAATTTAAATATTTCGAGTGACCAAACATGAAAGTTTTCTGTAATCTCACTGACCAATCATAGGGATTATTAGGGGATTGCTATTCGTCGTCCTAAAAATCCTTATTTGTCGCCCTAATTATATTAAATTTACTATAATGCCCTTAGTTTTTTTTTTTTGTCTTTCAAACAATTACACACTAACCGGAGGCGCAATCGTCATGGTCATCACCATCATCATCTTGCGTAACATCTCAAACAGACGCCAATAACAACAGCAACAACAACTCAAACACCACTACAACAAATTCGGCCTATTATGATAAGGAAATTTTGTCATATTAGATACCCATTTTGTCATATTAGGTATAATATGACAAAAGGTGTTGTCACAAAGGTTTGTTATTTTATCGCCGTCAGGATATGTCAAATTTGACAAATATTTAAAACAAAGTTGTCACATTTGCTTTCAGTATAGCTGATGTTCTGGGTAGTCTATTGTGACAAACAGAGATGTTATGACGACATATTTTATCATTAAGGTTATCATAATCTGGTGATTTGTGGAGAATTATTCGTCATATTACACGATTATATTTTGTCATAACTGTATATTGTGACGACTGCATTTTGTCACAAGTGTATATTATGACGACATTATTTTGTCATAACTGCATATATTAACGAGGAAAGGTGCCTTATTTGTCTCTTGTCTAAAATTATATATAATAAACACTGTAAAGAAATTTTTTTAATTAGCTTGTTGCATCTGCTTCTTGATGCATGCTCTTGAAGACTTAGATTTTGTATCAATCCTCTATTTTAAATAAGACAAACATATTACATGGAGTTCACTCCTACAAATGTCTATTATCGCCTTAAAATCCAGGTTGTTGCTCCTCGTCCTGCACACCTTGAGAGAATTTTGGACAAACCTGATACATACAAAAAAAAAGACAAGGCACACAATTAGAATTTGGAAAAGGCCATTTCACAATTTTTAGAGGACTCTGCATAAACATCAACAAGGTAAGACACTACCCAAAAAGCATAACCCTTGGAACACAAATCCACTACCTAATAAACTGCAAAAGAGATCTGCAAACCAATCACCCATAGGTAAATCCCTCAATCTAAATCCCTAAAATCCACATCCACAGTTTAATCGGGAATAGACGACAGAGTCGGGAAAGATGGATTAGAAGAATCTCACTTATATCTGTCAACTTCTAAAGCCAGAAATCCAAGCGCCATCTCGTCAGTTCTTTCGCCATCTTCGTCGCGTTCAAAGCCTCCTTGGCCGGCGTCTCGTCTCCTACGAGATACCATCACCAGTGGGAGCTCGAAGAATCCAAATAAAAAAAAGTGTTAGAACTGACATAAACTAGGCATCAAAAGAAAACACGCATGCAGGCTTGGTCTTACTTTCATTGGTGTCTTTCTTGTCGATTAGGAGCTACCGAGTCGGGGTTTAGTGGTCGAAGATGAGAGAAAGGAGTAGATCGAGAAATGGAAGTTTCATTTCCTATAGGTTTGTTGTCGTCCTTTGGGAACGATTGATGGGGAAGAAGATCGAAATGGCGGCGGATGAAGAGAGGAGAAGGAATAGGGTTTTGTTTTCCAGAGAGAAGGAACGAAACGAGAGAGAGAGAGATGAGGTAAGCGGCGGCCGCTGATTTTTGTTTAGGGTCGATTTTGTCTTAGAGACATTATATACCCCAATGGTCAAAATGACCCTTTGCCCCTTAGGGTTTCTGGAAATTAACGGGGCCTTGCCACCGCTTTTTCGTGAAAGTACCACCATGCCCCCGCTTTGTAAAAAACAAAACCACTATATTATGACGAACATGCCCTTTTGTCAGCTCATCGTGGGATTATTGCTATCTATTATAATAAAATATTTTGTCATTTAAATAATTCAGGAAGGCATAATATGACAAAAGCTACTATGACGATATAATATGTCACTTTTGTGCTCTTACATCCCGATATGGAATGCCTATTTTGACAAAATTAATTGTGACACGAAATATTTGTCACATTACTCACTTTAAATGACGAACTATTCTGACAACATGAGATTTGTCACTGTTGAGTCTCTTACATCCCGATATGGGACGCCTATTTTGACAAATTTAATTGTGACACGAAATATTTGTCACAATACTCACTTTAAATGACGAATTATTCTGAGAATACTTTTTTGTCACATTAGGCATACCAAATATGACATATATCATTTTTCTCATATCATCGTACCTATTATGACAAACAAAAAATGACAAAATTAAATTTTTGTCCTAATAGGCCGAATTTGTTGTAGTGCACATGCCAATAAATTCAATCAGGATAATAGCTAGGCAGCTATCATAGTGGACGGTGGGATCTTGCCCTTCAGGCCGACGTAGGCCACGCAGTCGGCCGCCGCGGTGGCTGTGGAAACTAGTCCTAGAGCCAACTCCAAAGCAAGGAATCAGAGAGGAGTTAATGGTTTTTTCAGCAAGATTGATGAAAGTGAGAGACAGGGTGGTAAGTGGTAAGTTAGTTAGTTACTAATGACCACGTCCAAGAAGATGAAGTGGAGCAGAGACTTGTTTTCATATTGTGGCTTGAGGATCACTCCCACGTATGCTAGGTGGCTGATGATGGTGTATGTGGCAGCTACGCAGAGTGCTGAAATGAAATTAGGGTTAGGGATAAATATGTCAATTAAGTGTATTTTAGGGCGATAAAATTTAAATTTTAGGACGACGAATAGCGATTCAAGATTATTATGGTGGATTTATGTGTTCATTTTGTGTAGTTATACACGTGCAATCTAGTAGTAGCTTATAGTTTTTTTTAATGCTTTTAGCGTGCAAACCTAGTAACCTACCTCTCCTAGCTCATTTCTCTCCGTTGAGAGTTGAGACACATGTTTATATAAAACCATGAAAATTTTCCACAATTCCACTTATTTGAATGAAACCATCTCAAAAAACACAACTCAAACACTTGCAATGAGATACATTTTGTAATTCAACGGGGAAAAAATTGTATGAACTCGAGAGTGAATCTATTATAGTATTAATAATTCTTTTTCTTTTACTTTTCACCTTTCACGACAATATCATTCAAAAAGATGTGCTTTAGCAAGCTAATAGTTATGTGAACTAATGATAGGAATGATAATAATAATAAAAAATCAATAACTAGAATGGTCAATTAGTTAATTACTTGGAACGAAATGTTAAAGCAATGTTTGGAGCTACGTGGTCAAACTTGTAACTATAAGAGTTAGAACTTAGAAGAGAGGGAACCGGTCAAGAACAAATAATGAAGTAAATAATAATCTTCAATGGTGAACATAATCATTGATTAGGAGAAGGTGAATAATATAAAACGATTATCCTGTTCTACGCTATGCAATATATAAAATAATCATCAGGTGGTTGTCAAATGTCCCTTGTCAGCACGTAATCTTTTAAATACCAAAAGAAATGGAATTGTGGATTAGATAAAGAAAAGACATCAAAGAGTTGTGTCGGCTTGTATGAAGATAAATATGCAGCTAGCTCAATCCAAAAAAAAATATATATATAAAAGAAGTTTAATTACTTTGAGGTAAATATATACGTATGTCCATATTTTAAGTAAGAAAATGCTTTTAGATTTTGAATTGGTCGAACTTTGTGATATCTTATTATAGCAAACGGCCATCGAAATCTGGGGATCCGTCGCGCGATACTCGTAGACGCCATCGATCGTAATTGTGGTGGATCGAACACTATATTAGTTCGACCTCAACTTTAGGGTTAAACCCAAAATTTGGTCTGCGAATTTTAGAGTTATGGGTTTGAGAGTATAATTATGTGTAGAAAAGTGTATTCACACCCCACAACACCCAAAAATTGATACCAGTTAAATTAATAAGTTTTTAAGGTTGAGTGTATTATAATTTTCTCTTTATTTGCTTATTTAATTATAATTCAATTAATTAAGTGTTTATTATTTCATGATTCGGTCATACGTCTATTGACGTGAATCTTGAAAGTGAAGAAAAAGTTTTGGTTAGTTGGACTCGAACCTATTGGTTGCCAATGCACTCGAGTAGACAGGATCAAAGTTCACGTAGTTCGATTGTTTGAATGGTTCATGGTGCGATATTAACATGTTCTATTGATTGTGAATAAGATAATGATGAGCTTCCAATGGAAAATGTAGTTTTGATCATTGTAATGTGGTAATCTAATGATTGATGACTTCAAGAGAAGTTTCATCGTAAATACTATCATGGTTTATTGACCATGATCTCGTAGTAATAATTTTTAGGATAAAAATGCTTGAATGAGCAAATGATAACATAAGGAAGTTAGTAATTCCAAAGGGAGTTTAGCATGAGAATATTTTGAAAAGGATATGTAGTTAGTGTTAACCTTGGAATCATACGATAATAGACTTGGTTTTACGTATTAAAGGAAAGATTGAAGAGAGAGTTCTTTGGTTTCTCTTGCTCTTCTATATTTTTGTTCTGTTGGTTTTGATTGCTTTTTTTTTCTGCCTGTTTTGTGAGGAAAAGTAAAAGGAAGTACCAAGAAGAGGAAGAAGAAGCAAGAAGATCCTTTTGTTCTTTCCTTTTTTATGTAAGAAGAGGGTGTATCATGTATGTGTGCCCGTGGAAAAGAAGAGCCTGTCCTCAGTTTTATAGGAGAAGAGGGCACTGTTGGGCCATTTGGTGGGGGTTTTGATTGGCTAGTTTAAAATATACAAATAAATATAAGAGAATGTCAGGGTAAATGAATTGCCACATCACCCTCTGCTGGATAACCCGCATAGTGCAGAGGGGCAAAGATGTAAATGAAACAATCATTCTCTCTCGATGTGTGTCCCTAATAAAGAGCTCAGCAGAATCCCAATAACCTTCGCGCACTAGCCCCCCCCCCCCCCCCCCCCCCCCCCCCCCCCCCCTCTTTCTCTTCCATCGGTGCTACCTTCTCTCCTAGTTCGTGGCTCCTTTCCCTTATGAAATCAATAGACATTGTTATCAAGTTGCTTAGACACGCAAGAAATTAATAAGCTTCTTAATGCCCACCATAAATTAATGGCTACTGCCTGTGGGCAAAATCATCAAGCAAAGGTTGTACAGCTACCTAAAAAAAGATGTAGAGTTATTCTCGCTTTCCCTTTTCTTTCACATTTGCCGGTCTTTGTTCAATTCTGAAATTTTGTATGTTACGTTATCTGATTGGATGTCACCTTAATTTAATAAATTTGGCCTGGAGATTCCTTGTATGAGTGTGACTCGGATTCTTTGATTTGGGGAGGAAGTAAGGCCTTGTAGAAGTTCTTTGGGCTTGGAGACCGTGCGGCATCCTAGAGGTAGGTGGAGGCGTCAAGCTATTTCTACTTGGATTGGGTTGCTTGGACCCAAGCAAATTCTCCTAGAAATTTGGGCTTGAGCTGAGTGACTTTGGACTTGCGGTGGTCAAACTCATCTTGAGGCCGCCATCGGTTCCTTCTGCAGTTTGAGCTAAGTTTTCTAGTGGTCTCCTCTTGGGTTTTAGTTAAGACTTATAGAAGAGTTTCTCTCCTTTAGTCTTCCAATAGGTGAAAACCCTCTTGATCTTCTCAAATATGCACCATTGGTACTCCATAATTTTACAAGCTTGGATCTAAAGTATTCTAGGTTGTGTTTTACCTTGAAAATTATATAACCATACCAAAACGAATTTTTTTATTACAAAATCGCAATCTAAGTATAATAATATCTCATTGATCAAATAGTTACGATATTCATATGAATTCAAGTAAATACTCCTAAAGATACATTGAGAGAAGGGGCAAATGTATTAAATATTGGAGGGATAAACACTTTAATCTAACTATTATCATCTCTTCTTCCCTTAATATTCGTATTCCAACATTTTTCATTCTTCCTCCCCCACTCCAGCTTGCATTCCAGCCAACATTCCTTCTTCTTCCTCATATTATTTTCATGAACCACTTCCTAACTCGACTGTCCCACTTCGACACTCAGATAAGATTCATGGTCCACCAAAGAAATTGAGTGATTATTTTCCCCCCCTAATAGTAATGCTAAATATCCTATTTCTTTAAGTTAAATCTTATCATAGGTTATCTCCTACTTATGGTTGTCTCAAATGAAACTGAACCAACCACTTACAATGAGACTGCCAAAGACTGAAGATGAGTTGAGGCAATGGATTTAGAATTGCAAGCATTGGCAAACAATAGAAGGTTTTAAGGCTATGTTAGTCGCCAAAGGGCCTTGATATTTATAAACCTTTTTTCCTCGAGTTAAACTTACCATTGTTCGTACTTGACTTGCTTTAGCTTCTACTAAGAATTAACAAGTGCAACATTTAGATGTTAACAATGTTTTTTACATGGTGGTTTGGTAGAAGAGGTTTACATGAATCCTCCTCCATGCTTGTTTTTGCCTTCTATGAATCCAGTTTGTAAAATAAATAAATTGATGTATGTCCTTAAGCAGGCTAGTTGGCAATGAAACCACACAATAACTCAATTTGTTCCTCATGCAAGTTATACTCTATCTAAGACAAATTATTTGTTGTTTACTAAGATTTACATGGGTAAATTTCAGGTTGTCTTAGTATATATTGATGATGTCATATTAGCAGGTGATGATATTGATTCTCTTAACCTGCTTAAATTCCAATAAGATGTTGCGTTTAAGATCAAAGATTTTAGACATCACTAATATTTTTTAGGTTTAAAAATAACTCGTACACTACTAGTTTTTCAATTTGTCAACGCAAATAAACTCTAGATTTGTTTAGTAATGCATGTTTATTGGTTGTGAAGCTTGATGCCATACCATTCGTTGTTGGAAGTCAGTTATCCATCCATGCTGGTGAACCTCTTTTTGACCGTAAGCTGTTTCGTAGACTTGTAGGTCGTCTTTTATATCTGTATCATACTCGGTTCTTGCAACAATTAGACTTGGAATCTCATAGGTCGATAACAAGGTATCGTGTATTCTTAGGATACTTGGTTCTTAGCTAGAGATCAAAGAAGCAACCCATTGTATCTCGATCCTCAATTGAATTCGTGTATCGTGCAATTGCAAATTTGGCATGCGAAGTTCAGTGCCTGCATGCTATTTTTTAGGATCTTGGAGTTCATTTTAAATCTCCTACCACCTTATTTTGCGGTAATCAATCCACTATTAAACTAGCTGAGGATCATGTTTTTTATGTTCGAACAAAACATTTTGAGATTGATTATCACATTATTCGTTATCGTATATTGTCATGATTAATCAAAGTGCTACATGTTAGTAGCGAGAAATTTTTGATGGTTTTACAAAGTCTTTGTCGAGTTCTTTATTTTTAGGTTGGATTTCCAAGTTAAATAGTTTGGACATCTACGCTCCAGCTTGTGGGGGTTGTTGGAGGACTCAAGACTATATAGTTTATGTATTATAATGTAACGTTTGTTATATACTATTTTGTATTGTAATTAGTCGGTACTATATATATTAAAATGTAATAAAGATAATGTAAGCTTTGATAATCATGGAATAAGAAAAGTAGACAACTCTCTTCTCAAAGATTCAACTTAGAATGTGGAAAATCATAAGCTAACTAAGCAGCTCTCAGCTAGATAGGCAATCAAGGTTGTCAATCGGGTTTAGCCCGTTGGCCCGATTTGGCAAGTGAGTTGAGGATTAATGGTTTGATTTTTTTAGCCTGGTTAAATTTGGATGTATGAAAAAATTCATTATATTGTTCATATATTTACAAATTATATCAAATCTCACATAACATATGGGTAACAATATATAATATTACACCAAAATACTAATTTGTACTTGGATCAACATATATAGTGAAAATTCAAACACACTAATAAAATATCAATATTCAAATGTTCAATTTAGCAAACCAAAATTAAGACTACGCAAAGAAAACCCCGAAAAAGACAAAATTTACATAGCAAAAAGAAAAACGATGATGTATAACTTCCAATCGAGGACCAACCTTGCATGCCATTGTACATAAGCTTCCATGCCATTGTACATAAGAATCTAAAACCCAAACCTCAAAGGCAGGCAATTCCATCTTCGAGAGATAGACAGCTTGCTATTCACATGTTATATATATGATTATGATACCAATTGACATTTATTATTATTATATTATGATTAATGTGTTTTTTGTTTGGCGAACTTGTGTGGTTCACAAGCATAAGACGACCAATTCCATAAAGAAATAAAAGCCGGCCTGGCTTCTTCTTTTTGCTTCTGGTGTGTGTGTGTTTTTGCCTATCTACTTGAGACCAATCCTTATCCACTCTGCGGCCAGCCTCAGCCGTTAGACGCATGCCGAGAATCGAAGATGATACAGATTACAGACTTTCTTACGATTGGGACCTCACCAGTCAGGCAGTCACCACCACCCATGCGACTAGTAACCGGATAAACTTTTGTTTGTCCACTTCATTATTATTACTCATCAAATGATCATTTATAAGAGTAGTAAATATAGGTTGAAGAGTACATCTTGTAATTGGCACACTTTAAAAAAGACACATATAATATACAAATCTTAAAAAAATTTAAATCCATGTTATTCATCATCAAAATTCTAAAATCATTCAAATTATCTCAAAAAATAAATCATAATTTTTTTATTAAATTCAATTTAATAATTAAGGGGCAATATGTTGTGGATCAAATAAAGCAGACAAGGTTGGGAAACGAAGAAAATGAAGCAATAAAAAAAACATAGTAATTCAAGTTGGATGGTCTTAGTTTACATCAAATTATTTTTTTCATAATTTATGTGGCTAAAATAGTGAATCAATAGACCAGTCAAACCATGATGGTTCATCTGGTTTTATGTCAAACCGATAATAATTTTCCGATTCATCCGCAACCACTAAGCAAATGAACCAAACCATTATTATAATTTGTTTGGTAGTTCTAAAGCCCCGGATCCGCCGAACCAGGCTCTGATACCACTTGTCATAACCGGGCTGCTCATTAGCACGATATGGTCTGCTTTGGACCAAGCTCGCACGGTTTTACTCTTGGGTGCCCTCCCCAAAAGGCCTCGTACTAATTGGGCTAGGTGGACTCTAATATACAAGGGTCACTTCCCTTGTATTACCGATGTGATACTTGGATTGTCCCATAACAATCATTCCCTCAAGACAAGGACCACGGACTTCGAGTCCTCACCTCAACTATTATCTTGATCTGCCAAACACCTTGTATCGATGGGCTTCTTGCTACAAGGATTTTCTCAAACGCGGAACTCTCTTTGATACGCCAAACAAACGTGGATCTCTCCTAGATCCACCAGACAGACGCACACCTCCCTTGATCCGCCAAACCATATGTAGCCCAAACGTGGATCTCTCCTGGATCCACCAAACATACACATATTTCAAATCCCAAGGTCACCAAACGAGGGTCCCACCAAACTGACGTCCACCGCCCCGGATTCGCCGAACCAGGCTCTGATACCACTTGTCGAAACCGGGCTGCTCAATTGGTACGATATTGTCCGCTTTGGGCCAAGCCCGCACGGATTTACTCTTGGGTATTCTTCGCAAAAGGCCTCATACTAATTGGGCTAGGTGGACTCTAATATACAAGGGTCCCTTCCCTTGTATTACCGATGTGGTACTTGGATAGTCCCATAACAATCTTCCCCTCAAGACAAGGACCACGAACTTCGTGTCCTCACCTCAGCGATTATCTTGATTCGCCAGACACCTTGTATCGATGGGCTTCTCGATACAAGGACTTTACCAGACGCAAAACTCTCTTTGATCTGCTTCCCAAATGTGGAACTCTCTTTGATCTGCCAAGCCCAAACGTGGATCTCTCCAGGATCCACCAAACAGACGTGAATCACCTTTGACCCGCCAGACAAACGCATATCTCAAATCCCGTGGTCACCGAATGAGAGTCCACCGAACTGACGTCCACCACCCTGGATAGAACCAAACTCTGATACCACTTGTCATAACAACGAGGTGCTCAATTAGTACGATATTGTCCGCTTTGAGCCAAGCCCTCACGGTTTTACTCTTGGGTATCCTCCCCAAAAGGCCTCGTACTTATGAACTTGGTGGACAATTATATACAAGGGTTCCTTCCCTTATATTTTTGATGTGGTACTTGGATTGTCCCATAACACTTCTAATGATCCTTCCGTTCATTCGTTTAGTTCTCATAAAACTGATCAGGAACTTGGTTTAGGTAGCCGAATTTTAGAGTAGAACCACTTAGCATTCCACTCCCAGCACTATTTATATTTTCAATGATTCTTCTTTCTTTTCTAACATCGCACTATTTATCTGAACCTCCTATTTAAGGGTTTTCCAAAAAAAAATTCTAAAAGAGCGCTACTTCATAGATATTTCCTAGTTGATGGTGTTTTTGCTCAAATTGCAGTGGGAAGGCATATGTCACCAACTCACCATTTAGGTTGGCAACATATAATACGTCACTTGATTGAATGGTGACATATGTACCGTGATGTGGACGTGTGGGAGAACATGCTGACAACGCTTTTTTTATTATTTTTTTTTTAACTTTTTGTGGTTCAAAACATTAACGTTTTAGGAAAACTTGTAAATAAACTAACCTCTAAGCTTGCTGCTTGGTTTGGTCCCAAATGTACACATTTTACCCCTCATTTCTTATTCTTTTAGCTTAGTATTTCATCATTCCTCGACATATTTCACGCTAGGTTGTGTTTGTTTTGATACATTTCAGGTCCTAGCACGTGTGGAAGGGTCGAGGTCCAATTTTGGGATAATTGGAGGTCAAAAAGAGCAAAACGTAGAAAATTTCGAAGTGCCTCGTAACAGTGAAGTGAAAGCATCCCAGGAAACAACCACAGTTCACGGGCGGACAAGGCAGTTCACGGTCTCCTAAGACCGTGAACACCGAGGCGTCCAACAAGGTTCCAGAAGTTACTGACGACAAGGCAGTTCACGGTCTCTAAGATCGTGAACTGGGGCCATTGACCGTGAACCCAGGACAGTAAAGTGGTGCATTTTGGACAACACCGAGTTCACGGACGCGTTTAGGTGTTCACGGTCGTGAACTGGCCAACGCGTCCTTTAAATGATCACTTTCGGGCAAATATGAAGACAACAGCGGGGAAAGAGAAAGGAGAGCTGGTTTTTGGAGAAGAAACACTTTCTTTCTCTAGGGTTTCAACCTAAAACACCGAAGGGGAGTTCTAGTGAAAGAGGGAGAGAGAGAGAGAGAGAGAGTTCTAGAGTGATCTTGGAGCATCATTGGAGGCTTGGGTGGGGGATTCAAGCCTAGAAGAAGAAGAAGAAGAAGAAGAAGAAGAAGAAGAAGATCTTGAGCTCAAATTTGTAACCCCTCTCTTCTCTCTCTAGAAACTCACTCTTTTATCTTGGGTGTTGTAGATCTCTAACTAATACTTTGTAATTACTTGTTTAGATTGAATGATTTTGTATGGGTTTGCATCAATTTGTGTATTAGAGGTGTTTTCATGGTGATTGTAATTAATTGTGCTTTCCAAATCTTGTGTGCTTGCCTAACCTAGATTAGAGGAAAACCACACCTTTTTAGGTAGGCTTGACAAGCTTGGGTTTCCTGGGTACTTTGTGCCTACTATCTAGGTTAGAGATGAGCACCCCCCTTGACTCAAGTTTGCATCTAGGTTGGTTGTGATTAAACCGATCAAACTCCGGTTTGAGGGAGAGACCTAGGCAACCCATAGAGACTGAGTGAGAGGATCGATTCCGTGACAATCAATCTCTATTGAATCCATCCCGTGACAAATGGATCACTAGTTGCTCCTCCTAGTGGTTCCTCTAGACTTGGTGAATGGATCGATCCCGTGACAAATCGATCGCTAGTGAATTGATTCCGTGACAAATCGATCACTAGTTGCTCACCCCCGCGGTTCACAACCACCTACTCCACACTACTCCATTCAATCCAACAAGCCATGGTAGCTAGTTAGGGGGAAGCAACTCCCGGGTGAAGCTCCCTTAGTTAGAATTTTCCTTTATTTACTTTTCCTTGCTAGTTTAGTTTGTAGTTTTCTTAGTTTTAAAACCCAAAACCGTTTTGCTAGATAACAACTTAAGAGATTGAAGTAGAGGTAGATGGACCGGTCCGAGTCGATATTTAAATACTTGCTCTATACTGCACCCGGCTAGAGTTTCAAAACTTGGACTCTAGTCGAGATTAATTTGTGGTGTAGTTTCGTGCGAGTCACTGCCATTATATGCACACACAAAATTAAGGGTAGTTTATTTACAAGTTTTCTTGAAAAAAATAATGTTCTGAACCTCAAAATTAAAAATAAAATGAGAAAAGTGCTCTCAGCATGTTCATCCGAGTATCCAGGTTAGCAGTACATAGGTAAAATTTATCCTATGAATTCTATATCGGTATAAATAATTGAATAATTTGTAGAAGCAAATATATCTTATGAATTCTATATCGGTATAAATAATATGAGGATTTTATGTTTAATTCTCGTACATCATGCTGATGTTGTATAATTTTCTATGTTAAATTTACTTGTAATTTTTTTATATTATATTGTAGATGTTTCATATTAATTAAATTTATAAATTCTAATTCTCTTCCTATAGTCTTATTTTCTTTTCTAGATTTGTTACGGAATGTGGTAGCTTTTATAGTTTATTTATTACTTGGTTACTTCCCATTTCTTTTCGTTCTAAATTTTCTTCAATTACTAGAATCTGTTTAATTCTTTTTTTACTGTGTTCCATTTATCTTTCTTTGGTCTTGATGTATTGATGATCGATTAGGTTCTATTTTAACTATTTTTAATGGTACTTCTAATTGAATTAGGAGATAAAATAGATCTTCTAATATTGATTTTAAATATTTATTATTTATTCTATATATTTATTCTTCTTCTTTATATTTGTTTATTATTTTTACTAATTTATCTGTTTTATTGACAATTTTGATTAGCCATTTTAGTTATATTATGTTTAAAAGGTTTTTTATTTTCTATATTAGATAAAAACTTTTTGAAATATAGTTTTGGATGTTTTTAAAAGTTTTGGATACCAAAAAGTAATTAAAATTTTGGGTTGGATGGAAAACTGGACGGATGCACATTTTGGCGACTTTAATGGTACCCGACGTCCTATTCAAACTTAAGTGGTATGTCTGCCACAATTCTCAAACTTAAGTGGTACCCGAAATATTTTACCCGCAATACATATGTCGCCAATTAGTCAAGCGACATATCATATGTTGCCGACCTAAGTGGCGACATATTCCTTCTCCCTGCCATTTCAACAAAAATACCACTATATTAGAAAAAAAGTTGTGATGTACTGTTATTTTGGAATTTTTATTAATTTCTTTTGGAATAACCCCTATGTTGCTTAATAATTAATATGATAGTTATAGTTAAATTGATGCATTGTTATCAATGCATGCATAATAATATACATGTATATAAGAAAATTGGTTTATTGTAATTTACATTGTATGGTTTATGTGATAATTATTGTAGTATTTAGATAAGTTATATTGCTTTCTAGGAAAATGTCATTTTTACCTTTTATTTTTTTTATATCAGATAACAACACACATAAAAAGGTAGGGGCATGATTGTTTGGTTATGGTGATAGTTAGATTGATTCATTGTCATCAATGCATGCATAATAATATGCATGGATATTAGAAAATTGGTGTATTGTAGTTTACACCGTTTGGTTTCTGTGATAGTTATTGTAGTATTTGAATAAGTTATATTATTTTTTGGGTGAAATGTCACTTTTACCCTTCATTTTTAATATAAAAGAGCAAGACACATAAAAAAACTAGGGACATAGTTGGAAGGAAGAAAAAACCCAACAATCACAATGAAACAATCTCAACAATCTCACAAAAAATATGAGATTTAACTATCACTCATTTTGAGTGATAGTCTTTGTCACATCAAACAAATAATTAATAATGTATGTATTGTTTGTGCAGAAAATTCAGAAAAAGAACGCATTGTGGACAATATATGCATTCTAACTATTTCAACCAAACTATCACCAAAACCAAACGACCCATAGTTAAAATAAAAAAAGACTCAACAATCTCAAAAATATCACAAAAACCTTGAGATTTAACTATTACTCCTTTTGATTGATAGTTTGTGCAAAAAAAAAAATTCAAAAAAAAAATATATTGTGATTTGTGAGCAATGCATACATTGTAACTATTCCAACCAAACAATCATCAAACATTTTTTTTAAGGGAGTTCTTGTTATGAATGATTCATAGCAAAACGCAATGGAATAGTCATCAAGTTTGGGTCTCAATGATTCATAAGCAGGTTAACAAAAAGAAAAGACTGTTCAGCCCAATCAGAAAAGTCCAGCAAAGTTCGTCAGCTGTTTGAGCCCAAAGATTGAAAGTAATCGGTTGAGTGAGCCCGCTCAGGCCAACGAAGCCGTTTTAGTTGAACCAGAGCCCAAAAACAGTGAAACGCTCTGTCGTTTGGATGCCAACAGTGTACAGTCAGTCATCCCTCGGAAGAAATTGTTGTCTCGACGATTACTTTCCTGCTTCGTCGCCTGCAGGCTGAAAGTTTCTTTCCTTCAGCAAAAACTGGATTTCTCATCTGGAATCCCGTTCTGGGTGCTTCCTTAGTTGATCCAAGCCATCAAACCAGTGGAGGAAATTCCGTTCTGCATCTCTACAATGTACCAGTGGAGGAAATTCGACTTCTTCGAGGACAAGTACGGCGGGAAGAGCTCGATTCCGGACGAAATCTCCGGTGAGATCGAGTGCTCTTCCAGCGGTAGAGGCAAAGTGGTGATCGGCTGCAACGACGGCACCGTCAGTTTCCTCGATCGTGGCCTCAACTTCAATTCAGGATTCCAATCGCACTCTTCCTCCGTCCTTTTCCTCCAGCAGCTCAAGGTTTCCACTTCTTCTTCTTTCTTCCTCCACATTTCCATTGATTTCCTCTCAAAATTTGATTGATCTTTTGTTGATTGGTTAGTTGCTTGAAATTACAGCAACGGAACTTCCTGTTAACTGTTGGCGAAGATGAGCAATTAGCTTCCCAGCAATCCGCCATGTGCCTCAAGGTTTTTGACCTCGATAAGCCGTCGCAGCAACAGGAGGGAACTAGCTCAGCCGCTGCTACCCCTGATTCCATTGGCATATTGCGCATTTTCACTAATAATTTCCCTGAGGCCAAGGTACTGGCGAAATCTATCTGTCTATATTGATGGCTTTATAGAAATAGATCATGGCAAATGCTGAAGAAAAATTCAATGAAATGTGGTTGCAGATTACTTCGTTTTTAGTACTAGAGGAAGCACCTCCGATACTACTGATAGCTATTGGGTTAGACAATGGCTGCATTTACTGCATCAAGGGTGACATTGCTAGAGAGCGAATCCAACGTTTCAAGCTGCAGGTCGATAATGCTTCAAACAAGAGTCAATTGCCTGTTACGGGTCTGGGTTTTAGAGTGGATGGCCAAACCCTTCAGTTGTTTGCTGTGACTCCTGATTCAGTGACTTTGTTCGGCCTGCACAGTCAACCACCGAGGAAGCAGACTTTGGATCAAATTGGTTCTAGTGTAAATAGTGTTGCAATGAGTGATCGGTCGGTAAGTGCTTACTGTGGCAATCGTAGTAGTTATGTTCTTGTTGGTTATGAGTTCGTGCATACATATAAACTTTTATGTGTCTGGTTTTGTTACCAGGAGTTGATAATTGGCCGACCGGAAGCGGTCTACTTCTATGAAGTTGATGGGCGGGGTCCTTGTTGGGCATTTGAGGGGGAGAAGAAATTCATGGGGTGGTTTAGAGGCTACCTTTTATGTGTTATATCAGACCAGAGAAATGGCAAGGATACTTTCAATGTTTATGATCTAAAGAACCGGTTGATAGCCCACAGTATAGTGGTTAAAGAAGTTTCTCACATGCTTTGTGAATGGGGTAACATCATACTTATCATGAGTGACAAATCAGCTTTGTGTATTGGCGAGAAAGACATGGAAAGCAAGCTTGACATGCTTTTCAAAAGAAATCTTTACACCGTGGCAATCAATCTGGTTCAGAGCCAGCAAGCTGATGCTGCAGCTACTGCTGAAGTTCTCAGAAAGTATGGAGATCATCTGTATAGCAAGCAAGATTATGATGAAGCCATGGCTCAGTACATTAACACGATTGGTCACCTCGAACCTTCGTACGTGATTCAGAAGTTCCTAGATGCACAGAGGATATACAACCTTACAAACTATCTGGAGAATTTGCATGAAAAGGGGCTCGCTTCAAAGGACCACACAACTCTTCTCTTGAACTGTTATACCAAACTGAAAGATGTTGAGAAGCTGAATGTTTTTATCAAGAGTGAGGATAGTGTCGGGGAGCATAAATTTGATGTGGAGACTGCTATTAGGGTTTGTCGTGCGGCCAATTACCATGAGCATGCAATGTATGTTGCTAAAAAGGCTGGGAGACATGAATGGTACCTGAAGATCTTGCTTGAGGATCTTGGCAGGTATGATGAAGCCTTGGAGTATATTTCTAGCCTTGACTCTAGTCAGGCTGGTGTGACGGTGAAAGAATATGGTAAAACACTCATAGAGCATAAACCAGCTGAGACCATTGAAATACTCATGAGGCTTTGCACTGAGGATGAATTGGTGAACAGAGGATCATCAAGCAGTGGCTACTTGTCTATGTTGCCATCTCCTGTAGACTTTCTCAACATTTTCATCCATCATCCTCATTCTTTGATGGACTTTCTTGAAAAATACACTGAGAAGGTGAAGGATTCTCCAGCTCAAGTAGAAATTCATAACACGCTCTTGGAGCTGTACTTATCCAATGATTTGAACTTCCCTTCAATGTCACAAGCTACCAACAGTGTAGCTCTTTCTCTTGAAGCTAGATCAGGGGAATTAACTGCTAATAAAAGAGACACTTCTGAAGAAAAATATCGAACAGAGAGGCTTCAGAAGGGCTTGCATTTGCTCAAGAGTGGTTGGCCATCTGACCTGGAGCAACCACTTTATGATGTCGATCTTGCTATAATACTTTGTGAGATGAATGTATTTACAGAAGGGCTTTTGTACATCTATGAGAAAATGAAACTGTATAAGGAGGTTATTGCCTGCTATATGCAGGCTCATGACCATGAAGGATTGATTGCATGCTGCAAAAAGCTAGGAGATTCAGGTAAGGGAGGTGATGCAACTCTTTGGGGGGATCTGCTGAAATACTTTGGTGAACTTGGGGAAGATTGTTCCAAAGAAGTGAAGGAAGTTCTAACATATATCGAAAGAGACGATATCTTGCCACCTATAATTGTTATCCAGACCCTGTCAAGGAATCCATGCCTCACGATCTCTGTAATCAAGGATTACATCGCCCGGAAGCTAGAGGAAGAGTCAAAGCTGATTGAGGATGATCGGCGAGCTATTGAGAAGTACCAGGTTAATTCTCTACTTTCACTAGCGCACATGGCTGTGGAGACATATGTAAAGATATCTATAAGGTATTTGTTAATTGGAAATTTTAACTTATTTTTTTGAAATGTGCAGGACGACACAGTGGTGATGAGAAAAGAAATTCAAGACCTAAGGATGAATGCCAGGATCTTCCAGCTCAGCAAGTGTACTGCTTGCACTTTCACCCTTGATCTTCCAGCGGTCCATTTCATGTGCATGCACTCTTTCCATCAACGTTGCCTTGGGGATAATGAGAAAGAATGCCCTGAATGTGCTCCCGACTACAGATCAGTCCTTGAGATGAAGAGAAACCTGGAGCAGAACTCCAAAGATCAGGACAGTTTCTTCCAACAGGTTAAGAGCTCAAAAGATGGGTTTTCTGTAATTGCCGAGTATTTTGGGAAGGGGATTATTAGCAAATCCAGCAATGGACACGCAGCAACTCTTGGATCAGCCAACACTTCTTCTGGAAATGGCTACTGACTCGTATCGATTGGTATTTGATCCTTGACCTTGAGAGTTCAGTCTTTCATTTCTTGCATTAAGTATCCATCTACTTGCGAAAGGGGAAAGCTTGAGGTGTTCTGTAAAGCTAAGCGACAGTTGAGACAAGGATCCCTCATAGGGCATCCTCTTGATTCTGTAACGCTGTCTCGTGCTGAGATTCATGCTGAAACCTGGATTATCACCTTCCTAGACGAGCAGCCAAGGTTGTTGATGGCTTCGCATCATATGAAGTCCCCTACAGGTGCACTTTTCTCCTCTTTAAGCCTGGAGACTGTATTGCGCAACATAAAATCTTTTTTGTTTTGTTTTTGTTTGCATGGTTGTGTGTGTCGGTTCGTTGAGTATATTTCGATCTTGTACTATCCCTAAAAAGAAGAAAAAAGTTCAGTTGGCAAGATTTCAGAGGTCTGCTTCTGGCTACTCCATACTGCCTTCAATATTAGCACTGATTGTGGATAAAGAAATCATATTTTGCTGCATTGTGCTTGCTTCATCTCTATCTTGTTGCGTTTGGCCCAAAGCGACAACCAAATCATTTCAGTTCCTACATTAGTTGATATACCCGCCTGAGATTGAAATATTCATCTTTCTGGTGTCGCGAATGCAAGCTGGCTGGTTCGTGAAAATCTGAAAGCTTTGGGATTTCAGATTTCAATATGCACTCGTTATGGGAATGATCTGGTCATTGCCTTGTCAACTGTTGGAATGGAGAGAAAAATTGGTTTGGTGGGTCCTACATGTTCATTCTATCTATCCAATACCAACTCCATTGCAAGTTTCTTCTGCGTCTTGTAATGTATGAGGAATCCAATATATGATGGATGGGATGAGTCTGTCCGGAAGCAAGTTCCATCGTTGCTTTTGGCTTTAAGTGGGAGAAGGTGTTGTAAGCTTAATAATTAGTGACCCTGGGTGTTAACTAATAATTATTCCCTCCTGTGTTTGCTATCTTATCTATTTGTAATTATTGAGTTTATGTTGGTGCTAATTGGGCATCTAGGCCAGCTGGTCTTGTTTTGTAATCTTGTGTTTCATGATGATGTGATTTGGATGAATTAGTGGCGACTCTTCTAACTTTAACTGGTGCCTCTGGTTAGAGAATTCAGAAATTGCTACTAATAGCTGCTTCTTTGCACTCTTACTTGAGATCAGACCAATAATTGTGGTTAATATGTCGTTTGGAAGTTGTGATTGTTTTTGTGAGATTGTTACTATACTTAGCATATATCGGGTTTTATTTTATTTTTTTCATATACAATACATGAATAGTTTCTATGATGTGACATAAACTCTTGCTCGTAATTGTTATATCTCAGCTTTTAGCGGAGTTTGGTGATATAGTTGAGTTTAGATTGTTATATGTCAGCTTTTGCTGACAATCACACATACCATAATACATCTATTTAATAATCACAACTTCCAAATTACCCTAAGTAGTTTTAGATGTGCAATGAATTTTAACAATTTCATTTATCTAATCTCCAGTTTTTTGGAACTTATTCCCAAATTCTTTACTAATTGGGTTGAGCTACTTATAGTAAGCAGATTATTGATCAACACCCCGTCACGTATGATGGAAAGATCCGTAGTTTGCCTTTGGTTCAACCATGTATATGTCTCGACCGCGGATGCATCCTATAGATGAGAAGCGACGATTTGCAACATTAGTTATTCTTACTGTAACAGATTGTAATCAATAACATAATTTAGGATGGATGTGTGTGTTAAGAAATCAAGATATAGTGGCGAGTTTAAAGGATAGTTTGCCCGTCAATTTTTCATCCCTTATTTACATAATGAGTCGCTGTAAAATAGATTTCACCTTTGCATATTGGAGTGGTCCCGTAACGAACCCTCGCCGGAAACTACTTCAAAGCAAGCCTTCTTTCTCTCATCTTTCCCCCCCGTCTTTTTGGTAAATCTTGCGTCTGAGACAAATTGAATCGTATATGGACTAGTTGCACCTGCCCAAATGCCTCTATCAACCGTTGTTTCGGTGCGCCTTTAGGAATCGTACATCCTTTGATGAATCAAAAAAGAAAAACAAAAAGGAGGAAAGCGGATGTTCACTCACTAAAAGAGCTCAACAAAGTCACTCCTTGAAAGAGGAACGAAGTAGCTCGACCGATAGGGAGAGGAGAGAATTGACTCGACCGTAGGGAGAAGGGCGAAGGAGAAAACAGTTCCTCATCCCTCGATATAAAGAAGTTTAGAAGGCAAGAATGAGTTGCATTCGGGCCTCTAAAGCAAGATGAAAGTGTCCTGCTGGATAAGAAGACCTAAAAGACCTGTAAAGGGAATCAGGTCGGTAACAAAAGGTCATCATTCTTTTTAAGTTTAGTCTGCGTATGAATGATCTACTTGACGACTTCACCAACGCTTCTGGTCTCAAGGAGAAAAGAAAATTGTTGATATCAGGAAAAAACATCCTACGCAGGCTAATTTCCAGCATACTGGGTCTCGAAGAAGGGATCCAAAGATATTTGCCGATCCTTGTCCCCCAAGACCTAAAAAGAAGGAGGAAGCCTTGCCATTCACACTGAGTGGATGGAGGGAAGGGAAAAGATTCAAAGGATGGCGGTCCGCGGAGGGACTAGTTCCGTGCCATCAAGACAAGCCAGAGGGACGAAGAACCAAAGGATTGCTGTTTTCGAGAAGGTTTTTCCCATGCATCGGTTTTTGGTACCGGCAAGGTGACAGGCTTTCATGCTGGGCTATGTGAATTCTCTACGCGCAAACTGAAAATGATAAAGAAAAAAAAGACAGAATGAGATGGCTTTATCCGCATTTGAGGAAAAAGTCGGGACGAAGATTTTCTGACGCAGTGCGGGCACTGGATTGAAAAGACAGATAAAGGAACAACCCACCGGAAAGGCATACCTCAAGGAGCACCAATCTCCCCCAACAAAGATCTATCTACACGAAGCCGACCTATGGATAGAAAGAAAGAGTGAAAAGTCCCTTCTTGCCAATCGTAGCAAGCAACGGCTAGATTGGGACCGTCGATTGGTTACAGTTACACATTGAACACATGCAGGTGGGTGAGGGGAGGCTAAGATACATGCATCATCCTATTCTACATATGTATCGGGCACGACCATCGTGCGAGTTTGGTCAAAATTGTCATTGCCACTAATACATAGCGCGTCTAGACATTAACTATCCAACCTTGGGTGTTGGATGTAACAATCCCATATCTTTTCAACTGAAAATTGTGATCAACTATCCTTTTGAAAAGGTGTTTTACCTACCACCTATAAAATTAAAATAAGGATGAAAACATTGTTTAACACAAGTTGACCCATGTGAGATCAATACATGGAAAGTGTCATGTTGTTCTCTGGTTTGTCTCATATATACATTTGTTGAACAACATAAAACTCAATTGCAAGCCTAGAACTAAACATAATTTTTTCATAGATGTCCCAGAAGGAAACATCATATATAAAGTATATTTTCAGGATTAATCCGAAAAAGGAAAAGGGACGTTGGTCGACCAACAAATGAACTAACGATAAGAGAGCATTCTTGCCACGATATGAGCAGCTAATCATACCTATATTAAGGAGACTAGATAAAGTTTTTTTTTTATATAAGTAAAGGCTAGATAAAGTTAATGCTTTGTTTTGTAATTAGTTTTCACATAAAGTTTTTGTTGTTACTAAGTTAATTTTTACAACTTGCAGACAACAAATTGAGATGCTAATTTAGGACTTCTTGTAAGTACGTATGACGTTTATCACAAATCTTCGTTTTGACTGCTTGCAAAACAAGCCCTTGTTGCAAACAAACGGCGCAATACTACTATAAAATATTAACTAGGGAGAGACCTGACCTACCTACCCTGCACCAAGGTGATAGAAACGAAAAAACATTACCCCATGAAGATTTGAGACTTTGTCGAAACTATAAGGGCTTCATCCTACGAACAAGAGAATTCAATGTGCCTCTTGACAGGACTTGTTGTGAACTTTGAAAGGTTCATTATACCTCATTGAGGATTTTTAAAATTGGGTCTCGTTGTTTATATATGGGATCTGATGACGGTGAAGAATTTAATGAAGTTATACAAAGCTTCTTCCTACCTCTTGAGAGGGTTTCGGCCTTGTCTACTTCTTCACATATGGCAATTGCTAGGCAAGACTTATGAAGTTTAAAGAGATTCACTTCAACCTTAAGGTCATGAACTTGAATGAATGGATGGATGGATGGTTGAATGAATGATACACCCAACATCTTGAGAGAGTTTTCTTGGATGATAAAGATTTTCGTCTCACCTCTTAAAAGAATTTAATGCCTCCTGAGATGACTTCGGATGACTTGGCCATAATGTCCTTAGAAGCAATAGCTTAGCATGAAAGGCTTTGTCGAGGGATATAGGATCTCAACCTACTTTTTGAGAGGGTTTAGACCATTTGTATAGCCTTTGGTTCAAGTAGACGACAATAAATCATTTGAAAGATTGTCGAGTTGTGAGGCCCATCTTATCTTGAAACCTAGGCAACTTCGTTAGAAAATAAAGCTCTAGGGCTTCGTTCCTCGAAGAAGGCAAGAGAAGGCTGATGAAACCTTCCTTTTATTGCTTTAGAAAATGGTGAATTTCATTAATAAAAGGAAAAAAAAACAAAAATGAGATCAGAAGTTTCTGCTGAATCTATTGTCCCCAGCTGAAGTCTGCGAAGATCAACGACAAATGCAGCTGAACTAGAACAAGGTGAAAGGAAAGCAAGTGGGTTAAAGTCGGAGGCCAAAAGTGGAGCGCAGCTGATGACTCGAAAGAACATGTTGACAACATTGAGGAGAAGTCCATGTGGAAATTATGTTGATGTTGTTCCTTGTAGGAAAACCCAAACTTTGAGGGCAAAACTTCTCCAACGGGGAGGGAATGATGCGAGAGCAGTGCGGCATGAGCAGCAGCTGATTGGAAGAGATTCCCGGCCAGACCAGGTTAATCCCCAACCGGGGATTGCAAGGAGCCGGCCGAGGAATACCATAAGACGAGGACCTGACCAGGAGAGGTTATTTACTAATCGGGAAATTAAGAAGAAGGTCGGGGAAAAGGAACGGAGGCCTGCCGGTCGTTGGGTTAAAATCCCCGATCAGGTATTTGCAAGGTCCGACTAGATATTTGGACATGGATGACGGGATTTTGCATTTTAAGTAATTTTTTATTATTTTTAATTGTCCATACCTATATAAAGGCCAAAACTTGGGTTTTGGGGTACTTTTTGGCATAATATTTGATTTTTATCTTGGTTTTGAACTTTAGGCTTGAACTTTTCTCTGTGTCAATCAAGTTTTCCCCTTGATTGTGGTTGAGATTCTACCTATTATATTGATAGAGCCTTCTACGGATTTCGTGTTGAGATTGCATTTTCAATTCCATCCTGTCCCAAAACATAAAATGACCTAAAAAAATCCCTTCTCCTTGTTCGTTCCAGAAGCTGTATATTTTGATAAGTACGGTTACTGATCTGTGGTCGTATCACAAAAAAAAATATAGATACCACAATGGACGACAAGCGTGAAATTGTGTTCCAAGCACCTCTAGGAGCACAAAAAATAAAGCCCTAGGCCAACGAACTCGCACAGGCCACAAAACACACCAAAAACCTGCACGAATGAACAAGGAACCACATTTCATTCTTGCAACTTAAAAAGTACATAAGCATCGTTGTATAATAATGCCACTAAGACAATACGCAATAAACAAGTCGGTGTATTGATGGAGACTTACATCAAAAGAACCAGCGTCTTGCCACTAAACTCATGATTAGTAAGGCTATTCATCCACCCATCATCTTGGTTCAGATCCATCTTCGTCGTTGCTAGTAACCATTGAACTAAGTTACGAACAATCCTAATGCCCACAACTTTGCTTAAATGAGTTTTTTCCTCGAAGATTCTACCATCCCTTTCCATTGAGATAAAACAGCAGATAGCATGAAACACACTACTACTAAACCATTATGAGGGACAAGTTGATGATAGAGATTGCCCTCTTAGCATAACATCCGAAATAATATCCAATACATACCTTGTAGCAAGATAGCGAAGACAACCATTCTATCCACATCCTTAGAGAAAGTGCGGTGAATGAGGATATGATCAACCATTTCTTCATTTTTTAGACAAGGGCAACATTTACTTGAATGGTTTCAAACGCGTGCTTCAGGTTCTCGTGAGTGAGTATTTGCCAGCGGAAGACCAACCAAAGCAATTAAAAAGTTTGAGGAGAATTTCACGAGAATTTTTCATTGTAGAGGCTCGTGTAGTAAGAATATACCAGAAGAATTTGACAACCAAACTAGCCAGTAAGAACCATTAGTCACCAAAATGTTAGGAAATGATTCAAATTAGTTTTTTATAAGGGTGACAATTGATATAGATTATTGATAAGCACATTGCTCTCACACTCAACCCCACCCAGTTTGGAATAAGAAAGAGAAAGTTTTCACGAATTATCATTGGATTAACCTGAAATGACTGAAGATCCGGCTGTTAGAGGTCCCATGCGTAACCATTATTGCGAATCTCTCAGATAAAGTACCAGCAAGAAACCAGTTGTCAAACCAGAGCGAGATCCAAACACTAGCCCTCGAATAAAAGCACATGTACTTCCAAAAGTAGGAGCCTCCTTACTTATGTATTAGTGGACAGAATAATTGGCCGTGTTATCTTATATTCTTTCACTTGTTCTCTATATCAATAAATTGTGGAGAAATTAAATTTTGATTAGGTCATGCCACCAAGCATCAATTTTTGTAGAATATCTATAATGTCATTTGCCAAAGAGGGCAGAGTTCATTCTTTCAAATCAAGAATTCCCATCCCCAATTCAGCTTTAGAAACCTTACATAAGTCCCCGTTAGCTAAATTAATTTTATTAGCCTCCTTTGCCCCATACCAAAGGAAGTTGCTCTAAATTTTTTTGAACTTCTCAATCACTATATTTGGAGCTTTGAAAAGAGACCTATGAATCATGATAAATGAGTTGGCTAGAAATTGTCAACTCATTGAGAACAAGCCTACCTCCAAAACACCATAACTAAAATTTCCATCCATCAAATATTTTATGATACGCATAAGAATCAGATTCCATATGCTACAACATGATGGATTTGCTCCAAAGGGAAGTCCCAAGTAAATCCCATGAAGAGGATTCCAAGAGCACCCACAAATATCATCAAGTTTGTTCATGTTTGCAACATCACCAACATGGTACATAACAAATTTTTTCAAATTTATTTTAAGCTCTGTAGTAGCTTGGAAACACACCAAGGCACCAAGGACATTCAAACTTCTTTATTAGCATCACATAATATAATTGTGTCATTTGCAAACAACAAACAAGTCAATTATCTCCATCTCAAGTATCCACACACAATTTTGATATACCTCTTTGTTCCTCATCTTATCCAGTGTCAAGGTAAGCAAGTCCATAACCATCTTGAATAAGGATGGAAAGAGCAGATCACCCTGACGTAATCCTTTCTCCAAAGGAAAGAAACCATATGCTTCTCCAATGATCAAGAAAAATATCAATTGTGAAGAACTTCAGCCATGGATGCACCTCACCCATTTATCATGAAAACCCAATGAATTTAGCACTTGAAGCAAGAAACTTCAACTTAAATTATCGAAAGTCGTTTCGATATCAAGTTTGAACATGACCTCCGCCTTTCCACTTTTTTCCTACTGTCCACAAGATCATTAGTAGTTAACGAGGCCTCATGAATTTGTCTTCCTTTAACATAAGCATTCTAACTTTGAGAAATAATTACGTCCATAACAATACGAAGTCACCCCATGAGAACCAGTGATATGATCTTGTTGTGACAACTAAGTAGACAAATTAGTGCAACGTCGTTAAGTTCTTCCACCTGAGAAAAATGAAATAAATGACAACTTGTGGAAATCCTTCACTATCTATTTATTGATGCCACTCCAACTCTCCTTATAGAAGGCCATATTGATTCCATTGAATCTAGGGTCACTGTTTTTCTTACTATATTTGACTGCATTCCAAACTTCTTCAAATTGTGGGAGCATGAAGGATTGCTTTGTCAGCTATATGCTTCTTCCCTTTCTTTACACACCTTAAGGAGAATTACCTCATAAAAGCAGCTGAAACAAAGGTTTATAGAGCTGATTTAACTTCTCATTTAGGGTTCGTTTGGATCAAGTATTTCACTATAAGTGATTTTATGCCCATTTATCTTATATTAAAAAAGTTTTTTCTTATAACACCCAAATTGGTGTTATTTAGCCTCCATATTCTAGGTGATTTCATGTATTTCTTTGGTCTTTATGGTTAATATATCGTCATTTGCGTCCTAAATTCGTTCCTCGAAGCATTTCATGTAATTTTAGGGTGCATTAGACAATAATTGTGATATAGGCACCAAAACAGGGCACAAGTGTAGAGTTTAAGGGCCAAAATGAAGTTCGCAGTCGAAGGAGCCAATATCATCGGCGGGATCCCATAGACCATGAATTCTAGAAGTAGATTGCGACATCAAGCCCATGATCATGCCCGCAAAATTGGAGGGAGAAGCTGAGAACTTGGGAAAGCTGCAGTCAAAGAAAGATATAAGGTTTCGACAGTCGACTCACAACCTCCCACTTTCGAGACAACGAGAAACGATCGTGGCCACGAATTCAGGATCACAACCATGAAGTCATCTCGGGATCTCTGACACGCTAAAACACAACACCAAACTGCGACCAAGTGTAATCGCAGTCCGGGAATGTAGTAAAGTGGCAAGTTCTAATTATCAACCCTTGCTCTAGATCTACACCCTACTCCGTGAATATCTATTATCTAGCCAACTAAGTCGATTGATTGTGGTTTTAACTAAAAGCAGTAAGAAAGCAGGAAAAGATTCGGTTTTCTAAAGCAAAGGAAGAGGCACTCGGGAATGAGTCCCCCTAGCTCCTTAGTTAGGTCTCAGTTGTAATTATCCTGGGTTGATTTACTGTTGATTAAACTGCGGAAGATCCGACAGTAGCTTGGAATCTCTTAAGCTGACCAAGCCCTCTCAGGCAGGCTAACCGGCATACGACTAGTCTTCACCGGGATAGAAAGCTGAGTCAATGAGCACAAAAATCCACTACTGGAATTGGGTTCCAGTACAAATCAGTAGATTGATTAACTCTCGTATAACTAATCTACCACTACCGAATGATGAAGCTCTAACAACCTAATCAGATTCTATCTATCTCAGGTTGCAGCAGAAATCAAGAAAAGATGATCAGACTTCAATTGATTCAATGAATCATGCATCATTCGATTAAAACCAAACAGTATAACAATCCCAAGTCATTACAATCAAGATCCCTAACACATGGAACTAGGGTTCTTCATACCCAAGTGAGAGAGGGTTCTACTCCATAGAGAGATAGAGAGGAAAACATCAAACAAAGCAATCATACTCATCAAGATGGGAAGAATCTACTCTGGGATATCAATCTTTACTCCAAGGATGATTTCCAAGCTTGATTGATGAAACCCAGCTCCAAAACCACTCTTAGGGGGTGTTCTTCGCACTTTCTCTCTCTAGGGCTCTGTTTTTGCTCCCAAAAAGTCGATCCCCTCTCATTTGGCTCGAATTTGGGTTAAAACCCAGAAATTCCCGACCACACGGGCAGGCCACACGGCCGTGTGGCTTTCCTAACTGCCCGTGTGAGTTAAGCAAAACGCAGCGTTTCGATAAGTGGACTTCAACCATCCTACACGGCCACAACCACACGATCGTGTGGATTTCCAGGCTGCCCGTGTGAGTTCCCTGGAATTTCCACACGGCCACATGGGTTCCCTTACACGGCCGTGTGGGTTTTAGGCATGCCCGTGTGACTTCCTCAGCTTCTCGCCAAACGTCCGATCTCCGTCCAATCGACCCCGAACTCGTTCCTAAACCTTCATTCACGTACTAGGACCTGAAATATCACAAACAAGAATAACCTAGCGTGAAATCGGCCTAAAACACGAGAGATAAGACTCAAACGGTGTAAGAATGGTGGACAAAAACATGTGTATATATCAAGTCATCAAATTCCCCTACACTTAACCGTTTGCTTGTCCCCAAGCAAACCAAGTCAGACACAAGGTAAGCTAACATATTTCAATCATACCAACATTGGGGACAAATCATATAGGCACAAAACACGTGAATCGTATTGTCTTTCAAACATCAACACATGAACAACTTCAATAGCAACTTGGACAATCCTACCCCTGCCTATTATGCATACACCTAGGCAATGCTAGTGCGTCGAGTGTGTGACCTTCGACTTAATAGCCTAGTGTGCGGCGGGTAGAACCCATTTAAAGGAGATAGGTTATATCCATGCATCAAGAAGCTTGGTGAAGTGACATCGGGTTAGTAGATTAGTGTAGGAGGGGGATTAGTTGCATGACCATTGAGGCAATCCCCATATTAGAGATCTCCCCACCTCAATTACTGATATAAGCCGAGGCTCTAAATCCTAGACTTAAACAATCAGAAATGGAGCAAAGATCAATTAGGAGCACAACAATCTCAAATGGATAATAACCCAAACCAAATCCACACGTCAGGAAGAGGGCCAGGTATATGAAGGACTATTCGGCTAGGGTGACGAGCTAGTAGAAAACGTTAGGTTTTTCTTGCTGAATCGATTCCATGCTCAAGAAAGAAGAAGAAGAAGAAGAGAGAAGT